TTTGATTTGTGATTTTAAAGATATGTGATTTAGTTCAATACCAATTAATAATCAAAAAGTATAAAGTATAGATGAAAGAAATGAATGAATCAAACCAGTGTTACCAAACAGTATCGGCCTCGAGCCTAGTGACCTCAAGATGAACCAAGAACATTAAAGTAAGAACAGTAAAGAGAAAAGACGAGTCTGATGAACAATGAACCAGAAAAATAAGATAGTATATTCTTTGCCAATGATTAGATCATGTTTACAAAATGATTGGGGTCCCCTTTATATAATAGGGGAACCCTTAATAAGGTAGATTTTCATTTACAATAAGGAATCTTATTGGGACAGTTGTCTAACCGCCTGATATGGAATCGTACAATTCTATTCCGAGATTTACGCCATGATTTTGGGGACGTGGCAGGAGTCTCGCTCATTCTGTTAGAGATCCATAACGGCATTATTTCGGGGTCGAGCATACTCGTCTTCGGTATTCATCGTACTTCGATCCTCGGGCATTGCATCCTATCTTCGAGCTTGAGTCTGGTCCATCGGGCCCAAAGCTCCTTTTTCCTGAACTCGGTCTTAAGACAACCCCTCGAGCCTATAGATCGAAGGCATATGATTTTGACCGTATACAATGAGTAGAAGACTAGAAGGGAGACATCCATCATACATAAGCCCAACTCCACCAGCTGCGAGCTCTTCAAGTTAATCAAGCAAACACAAGCCCAACTCCACCGGCTGCGAGCTCTTCAAGTTAATCAAGCAAAGACTTGTGGATAAGTCAAATTCAGGATTTGAAATTTTTGGGTTCAGATTCGCAATTCTATCTCATTCCATATATATTTGTGGGTTCAAAATTTATTATATGTATATATAATAATTTTTTGGGTAAAATATAAGGTAGGAATAAAAGTTATGAACCCATAGCTTCTACACTAAATACGTCCATCAATCCATTATTACAACTACTATCTTGAGAATGTAGTTTTCTTTACTAAGAAAGCAGGGACAATCATAGTCTAAAGGATTTAAATTTCTAGGTTTCGCCAGCTCTACTATAACTAATCTAACCCTAGAATATGACGAGTTATTTTAGCTGGTTGGTTGGTTCGTCCTTGCTTGTCGGTATGATGCTATCTCTTTACATGTATGAATTTTCAACCCAATTCATTTATTATGTTAATTCATACATGGAGTAGTATTTATTATCCAAGCAATTGTAGTAGTACACGGTAATGAATAAATGTAAGCGCTAAACAGCAAGCATAATTGTATCGAGAATTTAGGTTGCCCTCTTCTTCTCAAAAGTTCGTTTGTAGAAGCTTTGCCTAGTCTAACTCTACCACATTCTTCTTGTTTTATGTCTTTAATAAATTCGGTCAATTTTTAGCGGCTTATTTAAATTAAAAAAAGTTGACTATAGGTTTAGTTAAGTCGTTTAATTTCAATTTTCAAAAGACAGTTTGTGCACTAAAAAAGCTTTTGGCATAAATATGTAGTGATTCCTTCCGTTTGTTATGATCTTTTACCCACTGTAGAATTGATATTTTGCTGCCTCATGTATGCTATTTGACACTTCCATGTGAGAACAAGAAGCTCATGTTTCTATCAGACAACACAATTCCACGTTCTCTTCAATTGCGTGAAAGGACTATTTCCTAACCCCCGAATGTGATGTGTTTGGTCTTACAATATTGCATTATCTAAACTCAAAATGAAAATGATTGGCAACAGAATGGTTGTATAAAATTATAATTATTTTCCTCCCCTTTTTTCCCTTTTCTTCTTAAGCATTTCATCCTAAATGGAATGTCTACTTTCTCCCTTCTTTTTGGTCGCATTCGTAAATCTCTCTGGTATTATCTTGCAGTTGTTACTGCTTGTTGTTATTGCTTTCTTCAAATTCTTTTTGGCTCTTCTTTCTTGAGCCAGGGGTCTACCTTCTCAGGATACGGGTAAGGTTTGCATAAATACTACCCTTTCCAGACCCCACTTGTGAACCAGACCCTACTTGTGAAACTCCATTGAGTATTTTTGTTGTTGTTGTTGTTGTTGTTGTTGTTGTATGAGTTTGTAGATCAATATAGGCTTGTGTGGCCATCTTATCCAATACTCAACAACAGTCATGCATTTTCCACTGAGTTGTCTATTATCTCTTGTCTGAAATTAAAATGGATATGATGGTAAATGCAGAGGCGGATTCAGAATTTAAAATGATTTTGCCTCTTGCTCTTTGCGAATCGCAATACTTATATATAATTACAAAAATATGGGACAAAAAATGAATCACTTAGTGATATGTACATTTGACAGTAACTATACTCGAGGAACTAAAAAACTCCAGTCATAACTTTGGCTGCTATATGATGCCTATGTACAAAAATAAATCATTTAAGGACAATTTCACAGGTCATATCATGATATGGAGTTATCTTAGCAATAAATTGATGACCCAAAATCCAGCTCTAAGTCTGCATGATTTTCAGGTCAATTATTTTTCAACTATTGAGATTGATAGAATTGGGATTTGGCCCCATTCATTCATATGACTTCAAGATTAGTCTTCCTCTCTTTGTCGGTGGTTTGTACACAGTTTTAATTCTAAGGTATAAATTTCTCCAAATTAATTAATTCGTACCCTATATTTTCAAATTCCCGGATCTCTTCAATAATTTTATCATATTATTTTAGTAAGAAAAAAAGATAGAGTGAGGATTCCTTCAAACATGCAAACTGGAAAACAGTGAATCTTTGACAGTTAGCAAAATCAGTCTCAAAGGTGAAAATAGAACAATTAAGGATAATGTAATAGTTTAATCCGCTTGCACGTGACCCAATGTGCCACATAGACCCTTTTTTTTTTTTTTTTGGTGTGTGTGTGTTTAACAGGCCAAAACATGTCAAAAAATAATACTCCTAAGTCCTAATAACAAATGGACAGATCAAACCCTAGTAGTATTTCGTTGCTTTTCATTTCCTCCGGTCCAATTTAATTGATTTTTTGAATGTATTCCCACATATTAATAAATTTACTTTTTAATATTAATTAACAATAAAATTAACCATATAAACTTTAACTTGTTCATTGGAAATACAACAAATACTTCTAGCTTCTTTACTCCAAAGACAACTTTGAAAAAAAGAAGTTAATTCCTTCTAGATATCTGAAAAAATCAAATATTGTGGACCACAAAAAAAAGGGTCAAAAAATCAATTAAAGTGGACCGGAGGGAGTACTTTTTCTTCTTTTGAAACTACTTATAGAAAAACAAATATAAATTATTCCAAGGTTTTCACTTTTAACTAAGGATAGTTTCAGTTAATCTGCCTCTGATATTAGACAATACTATTAAAGAAACTTATGAGCCTCCGCGAAAATTTAAAGCATAAAAACAGTTTTAATAGTTCTTAAATAAAAATAAAGGATAATAAACAACAAAGTGACACAGTGAAGTACAATGAGAATATCAAGATTTAAAATTTGGCTCTAGTTTTTTTTTAAAAATAATTAGTTAGGCATTGGAGATAATTTAACATTAAGAGAGAGGATGCTAATTGATTATTACTATATGAAAAACACTACGTGCACAGGATAGATATCCTTTAGTCATTTTTAATATCGAATTCTGAGACAATTAGTTTAGAACAAGAATAAAATATCAGATTAGTTTCTTGTACACTGCCTAATATTTTGTCAGAAAGAATAAACTAACACTTTAAGAAAGAAAAGAAAAATGAAAAAAGGACAAAAAGTTCTAGCTTATGCTCACCAGTCACCAATAACAGATCCAAACTTTATAAAGCCAACATACTCCTATAAATTTGCTTCTGGGTCCTGTCTGCTATAAATTACTGACCCCCTCACGTGCCATCTTCTTTACTACTGCACTACGTACATTTTTATTTTTATTTTTGGTAAGTTAATTCTGTACTACCTACATGGACAACAATACTTGCTTTTGAAAAAAGCCGCAAAAAAGTTTTAAATTTTCTCTACTGGATAGTTGAATACTCATAGTAAAATGAGATTTAAATTTTCGGATTTATTTACTTATTTTTGAAGGGCATTAAAACGTTCATTTTCAGAATTATGGTGGGAAATAAAAATCCTCTTCTACTCAATATCTCTATGGGATACAAACAGAGTTAACAAAAGCTCTTGTTTATTAACCGTGAATAATAATGAAAGTTCCTTTTTTTCCCACAAAAACTCAATATCTATCATTATCTTTCATCTCAAATATCTCCCTTCTATTAACGAATTTTCATCGTGAAAAGAGTATTTGATTTTATTAATATGGTGTAAAGCCATGTAAGGATAAGTTTGGACTTTTCAAATTGTTCAGAAGCATTTAGATTTTTTAATTATTTAGGGGCATGCTTCAAACTAGGGGCGATAAATGGGCAGGTCGGATTGAATTTGGGCGGGTCAAGATGTGTTAGATCAATAATTGGGTCATTGTCCAACACAATCCAAAGTGTACTTGGGGTAAGATGGGTTGGGTCAAGATGGGCTAAACAATGGATCATAGCCCAACCCGCCCAACTTGGCCCATGTTTTAAAAATTTGAACTTATTTTAGAAATGAAAACAAAATAAATAACAGTTCCGTAAAATGATAAAAACTTATTTACTCTCGTTGTTTTATCAAACTAATGAATAGTTGAATACAAACCAACCGTCTCTTCAGATACGCATTTATCACTTAATCATATTTAAGTAATATATTTTCACTTTAATTTATATAGGGAAAGTTAAATTAAGGTATAAACAAGAAATTGCATGCAACTATTTACCCTCTTAAGACTGACTGAGTCACATTTCATCAGCAATAAAAGGGTTTTAATCTGACGTGCATTTAGGCCAACCAACTTCTTGGATGGACAAAAAAGAGAGGGAAAAAGTACATTGAATTAATATCTGAAGGAAGAAATAAAAATAAATAAATTGAGGAGAAAAGAAGAGTAATATGGCAATCCATTTATATATATACTTATATATATAACATCTCATTCTCCCACTTCCATGTACTAGAAGAGAAGCACACTCTTGTATATACACACATACAAGCATATACGTATAGAGAGAGAGAAAAGGAGAATCATAGTGCTGCATTTCTAGAGCGAGAGAGAGGCGAAATGGGTCTTACCGGAGTAACATTCTTGGTCACTCTGATGATGCTGACCGCCGTCACTATTCCGGCAAATGGTTGTTCGCCGGCAGACCAAGCAGCATTAATGGACTTCAAAGCAGCTCTTAACGAGCCTTATTTGGGCATTTTCAACACATGGACGGGCACCAACTGTTGTCAGGGTTGGAACGGTGTTGGCTGTGACCCGAATACTCAACGGGTCGCCGACATTGTTCTTCGGGGCGAATCGGAAGACCCGATTTACGAGAAAGCCGGCCGGTCTGGTTACATGACAGGTTCACTCTCCCCTTCCCTCTGCAAACTCGACGGCCTTACTACCCTCATCGTCGCCGACTGGAAAGATATCTCCGGCGAAATTCCGGCTTGTCTCACTTCGTTAAAAAATCTCCGTATCGTTGATCTCATCGGAAACAAAATCACCGGCCAAATCCCGGCGAACATCGCTCAGCTGAGTAAACTCGCTGTCCTTAACCTCGCCGATAACCAAATCTCCGGTTCAATCCCTGGCTCGATCGTCAATCTCGGAAAATTAATGCACCTTGACCTCAGCAACAATCAGCTCTCCGGCGAAATTCCGGCCGATATCGGGAAACTCAGCATGATGAGCCGAGCACTATTCAACAAGAACAAACTCACCGGTTCAATCCCGAACTCAATCTCCAAACTCTACCGGTTAGCCGATCTCGATTTAGCAATGAACCAAATTACCGGTTCAATCCCAGCTCAGCTCGGTTCAATGCCTGTTCTCTCAACCCTAAACCTAGACTCCAACCAACTCTCCGGTTCAATTCCCAATAATCTACTCAGTAGCCCCGGTTTAAACATCCTCAACTTAAGTAGAAACTCATTAGAAGGATTACTACCCGATGTTTTTGGTTCAAAAACATATTTTACACATCTCGATTTATCGTACAATAATCTTAGGGGTTCAATTCCTAAATCGTTAGCTTCAGCTAAGTACATTGGTCATTTGGATTTGAGCTACAACCATCTTTGCGGCCCGATTCCAAACGGGTCTCCGTTCGATCATCTAGAAGCTTCATCTTTCTCTAACAACGATTGTTTGTGTGGGTCGCCATTACGTACTTGTTAATTTGTTTTTTGAGGGTTTATGGTTTGTAATTAATCGAATTATCGGTTGATTACATATAATTGTATTTCTCCATATTGTAATGGTAACATCATTCTCTTAGTGTGCTTAGCTTAATTACTGAAAGTGTAAACTCATAAATTATTGCTAAGCAACGGTTATGAGCTCGAATCATGCATGTACGTGAAAATGTGTAAAAGTTTCCACGAAAAATATCAAAGAAAATTGTATGCTTTTATTAGTATTTGTAAATCTCCCGAACTTTTGTTTCCTCAATAATTTGCTATTCATTCGTACCCTGCGTGATTCTTTTCTAGTATTATTTAAAGTGAGCATTCGAGTTCTTTTTTATTACTATAAAAGATTTCTTCATTTTCCTCTTTTAGCCAAATAGTTGCGCACAATTGAGGAAAATTTTATTTTGTGTCTCATACAATTGACACTAGTTGTATGAGGCATTTTTTTTGTCACACAATTTTGTGGACCCAGATTTTCGTGGACCCAAAAGTGTAAGATAGGGGTCCACAAATTTGTGAGATAAAAAAGAGTCTCACACAACTAATGTAAGTTGTGTGAGACACAAAATAAAACTTCTCCACAATTGATGCAAGAAAGTTGGAAATTAATCTCAAACAACGATATGACATTATCAGTGACTTGCAAAATTTTGCACTTTATAGAGATAACCTTCTTTTCAGACAATTAAACTCAAAAAGTTAAAGCCCCGTTTGGTCATAGATTTTGCCAATTTTTTTCCAAGAAAATTTTGGCAAAATAAGTTTGTAATTATAGATTATATACATGTTTTGGCAGATTTTGAAAATAAAATTTCCAAATCTCAAAACTAGCTCTAGACATGTTTTTGGCCAAAAATATTACTGTTGAATTTTTTAACAATTTAAAAAATTACCCCAAACTTTTGTATTTTATCCCCCACCTATTATGACCAAACTATTCCATCGGCTAATTACTATAATTTTCTTTTGGACTGATGGTTCTCTTAATGTTATTGTAATTTGATGAATTATAGTGGCTAGTAATTGTGTTATTAGCCGTTGAAATTAAAATATCTTCATTATAAAAATGATAATTTTGTGCAAACTTATTTATGTTCAGGACTATGGTTTGTGATAATGATAATGAATGGCATCGATGAAGGTTCGGCATATACATGATTAGCAAGTTTGTTTGTTTGATATTGTTGGATATTTTTGATAGTTTTTAGAACTTATGGGTATAAGTCACATTTCATATTTTTGCACAACAAAAAAAAAAAAAGTGAAATATATTTTGAAAAATTATGTCCAAAACAGATTTTCATTTTTAAACCAAACTTCACCAAATCAAATTTTTTAAAATAAATTTGGGAATCTATGGCCAAACGCTAGCTAAGTTTCTTTGAACTTTTTTATTTTGGGAAGAGTAAGACCCAAGCTATTTGGACACTGTTGGTCTGTGAACATTATGATTTGATGGCATATCATCAGGTAAATTATTATGGACAAGAAAGAAAGAGAAAAAGACAAGATGAATAAACTGAAATTTGAAGGGAAATGTTAGTTAGGTCATATGAATTATGATTTAAATGATATCATTACTTAGTAGGAAAATGCATTAAGTGCTTGCTCAATGCCGTCGGCAGGGATCTGGTTGGTAGCCCTCATATATTTGGCCGAGGCGGACGTAGCCTTTTGGCTATAGATTCACCGGCAAAATTTTTGATATATATAACCTATTAAAGATTTAATAAAATGTTACATTTCAAATCATAAATTTAGTTGTACAATAAGTTCAGTGCACAGCTAAATCCATTAAGTTTAAATTCGAAATTCACCTCTTATATTTAGTTGGAAAAAAATTAAAATTATAGTTAACGTTTTACACTGATTTTAACAAGCCATTTAGTTTATCTTTTATGTCGCTAAATTAGAATTACTATAAGCAATTATATGTTGTTAAAAGTCCTTTTAACTTGGAAGTAAAAAGTTTTATACACGTCACTACATTAAACCCTTTATAGAAAATAAAACCAAAAGAGCGGCGGGTAGGACGAATTGATGGGAGTGAATCCAGCTTAAAGGTGGTATATAATAAAGAAAGGTAGTTCTAAACAAAATCACAATCGTAGTATATAGCTCTAATTAGATCATAATAAGATTCCATTTCAGTTTTTCAAATTTAACAGTTTGCATGAATTATTTGGGATGTAAACGTTATAAGGGGGAAAAAATTTACTTTTGACAACACTTTCGACATCGGGTTGCGCTGTTTGTGACATATGATTATATGTGGAGATTTGACCATAATGTTTACTGATAATCTTGAATAAGTAGTTCTTTTTTGTGTTTAAATTATGATAATACTGAAAGATTATTTCGTACAGAAAAATGAAGCCATGGTTAAGAGACAAAACATGCATTTTCGGGATAACTTTCTCACTGAAATTCAGTAAAGTAAGCAAACAATTACGCGTCAATCACAAGCAAGTTAAGATGACTATATATGAATGTCGGCCCATTTTTGCTCCATGTAATGCTTCTCAGTCCCAATGTTAAAATAAAAACAAAAACATTGACAGTGAAAGAATTAGGGGCATCACATGCAAGAGAGGACCAATGTGCCAAGCAATTAAGAAAATGAGAGATGAGTACAATAAATTTGGGAGAGGAAAAGCAGAGGGGAAGAGGTCAAGTTGTTGCTGAGCAAATGCATGTGACTTGCCTAGAATATCAAACTATGCAATATTTTAGGGGTCCACTCACTAAATACCCCCACTTAAATTCCATGGCTCACAATAGCCAATACAAAGTTAGTACTACCATTACTAAAAAACACATTTATCCAAACAGAATATTTTGTAATCAGCACAACTTAAAATCAGCTGCCTCAATGCATAAACAGCTGCTTAGTTGCACCTAGGGGTGACAATTTGAGCCCAAATCCATGCGATCCGTCAAGAGATTAATGGGTGGCTACAAATATTTTAGGTCATGAGTTTATTAGGACTGAGCTCAAGTTAACTTATTATTTTTTATAACTCATTCTGACTCATTAAGTAGCCCACATACAACCCATGAAGTTCACCCAAAACAAAGGTCTCAACCCAACTTATCTAGAAATCTACTTCGTTGCCCCAATTTTACTATTTTTTTTTATATTTTTAATTTTCTGTTTTTTTTCGTTTTTCTGCACACCCCCCCTCCCACCTCCCCCCCCCCCCCGCAAAACCCCCCTAAAAAAAAAAATTTTCCTTTTTTTGTATCTTCAATTTCTATTTTTTCTACACCACCCACCTTCCTCCCCACCCCCCACCCCCACTAGCAAAATATTTTTCAAACTTACACATTTTAAATACTAGTTTGTTATTTAAGAAAATATATATTCTGATTCTTAAAATACTAATAGTATTTATTTATCTTTTATACATATGTGTATAAAAGGTAAAAGGCTTTGTTCATGCTAGATGAGCATGATTTTAAAACATGGGTCAAGTTGGGCAGGTTGGGCTATGACTCATTGTTTAGCCCATCTTGACCCAGCCCATCTTAGCCCAAGTACACTTCGAGTTGGGTTGGGCAATGACCCATTTATTGACGAGATTTTTTCTTTCCTATACCATATATGAAACCTTATTACCAAAAATGTTCATAGTTTCTAATTTACCCGCCCTGTCCATATTTTTTCTACAGTTATTATACCAATCATTAAATACTAATTAATAGTAGCTGAATCTTCCTAATTTGTCGAGCTAAAATTGAGGAACAGAATATTCTAAAAAAAATAGGGCGTAAATCAGATCAAATCATATTCTTCCAGATATTCCTATTTAGGCGCGCTACACTTACGGAAGTAAATATTCTTCCAGATATTTTCCACCGTTGATAGCCATTAAAAAGCTTGAAAGCTTTGAATTCAAATTTGGGTTTTCGAAAATCATTATTTGTTAGATTGGGTGTTGTTGAAAATAATCTTTATATCTCAATTTTGAGGGGTTTTGGTGAAGATTAGACTTGGTTTTGACAGAAATTCAGATTGAAACTCGAAGAAGAAGAAGAAGAAGAAGAAGAAGAAGAAGAAGATGAAGAAGAAGAAGACATATTGCAGAAATTATAGATAAATTGTAGATAAATCATAGATAAATTGTAGATTATTTGTAGACTGTTTGTAGATGCTTTATTTTCTGTTTTCACAAATAAAAAACGGCTAAAACTTCTACAAATCTTCTGAAAAATGGTAATTATGTCAAAAATCACAATTATGCTACAATTGGATGGGGATTGGGATATAAAAATTCAATGTACCCAGTTTGTAGATATTTTGTAGATAAATTGTAGATTATTTGTATTCTAATTGTAGGTGCTTTGTTTTCTGTTTTCACAAATCAAAAACGACTAAAACTTCTACGAATCTTCTGAAAATAATGCAATTATGTCGAAAATGCCAATTATGCTACAATTGAAATGGGAATTGGGATATTAAAATTCAATGTATCCAGTTTGTAGATATTTTGTAGATAAATTGTAGATTATTTGTATTCTGATTGTAGATGCATTGTTTTCTGTATCCAAAACGACTAAAACTTCTACAAAATCTTCTGCAAAAAACAGTCTACAATTTATCTACAATTTATCTACAATTTCTGCAATATGTCTTCTTCTTCTTCTTCGAGTTTCAATATGAATTTCAGTCAAAACCAAGTCTAATCTTCACCAAAACCCTCAAAATTGAGATATAAACTCCAAAACATATTCCCAATTATTTTCAACAACACCCAATCAAAACAAATAATGATTTTTGAAAACCCAAATTTGAATTCAAAGCTTCAAAGCTTTTTAATGGCTGTCAATGGTGGAATTGCTGCTCTCTTGTCTCTTTGAAGGTTTGTTCTTCTTCATTGAGAAAATTTGAAGCTGAAGGTAAATGTGTGTATGAATTTTGAAGATTTGACTTCAATTTTGATGAACTTTGTTGTTCTTCATTGATGAACTTCAACTGGAGTAAAATGGGGAACCAACTTTGTTGAAGGGTTTCTTCAATTTTCTGTGAATTTAGAGGGAGAATTTGGTTTCAGAAGATGGAAATGGTAAAAAGAACGTGGGTATGGGTAAAACGTGGGTGGGACTGAGGGGTTAGGAGAGAGAAACGTGCAGATTCCTTTAATTAAGGAGTAAAAAATGTACAATTAATTATACCCTTAATTAATTATGGTATAGAATTGGTAATTTGGTATACTAAGTGTAATTA